TAAATTAACCGCCCTACCAGTCTGCAATAAGACTCAGGATTCGCAAGTAACTCACCACTAGCAAGGCAAACCTTGTGATTTTGCTTAATCGGAAAACCACTTGGCTTTGCCCCTAATAACCCTGCTTCTGAAATAATATCCAAGGTGTATTTTCGTTGACACAAGAACAAATCAGATTTACTACGAGCAACCTCGATGCCCAAAAAATACTTCAAAGGATCAAGATCCTTCATCTTGAAACAATCACAAAGGTAAGCCTTGAATGCAGTCAATGCAGCAGAATCATTCCCATAAATAATAAGATCATCGACATAGACTAAGACATTAATCTGAACATTGCCATTAGTGTATGTGAAAAGAGAATAATCAGAGTAAGATTGTAGAAAACCGTACCCTTTCAGAGTCGTAGTCAGTTTTGCAAACCAACACCTTGGAGCTAGTTTCAACCCATACAAAGACTTTCTCAAACGACACACCAAACTCGGATCCGAGCTCTCAAAACAGGGAGGTAGTTTCATGTACACCTCCTCATCCAGATCACCATGTAGAAAGGCATTATGAACATACATCTGCTGAAGCTCCCAATTTTTAGAAGTGGCTATAGCAAGAAAAGCGCGCACAGGTAGTCATTTTTGCAACCGGAGCAAAAGTCTCACCATAATTGATACCTTCTTGTTGATGATTACCAAAGACAACTAATCAAGACTTGAGACGTTCAATATCACCATTAGACAAAATTTTGTCTTGTGCACCCATTGACTGCCTAGAGTCTTCTTGTCGGGAGGAAGATGCTCTAATGTTCAAGTCCCATTGTCTTCTAATGCCCGTATTTCCTCTTTCATAGAACATCGCCAACCTTCAGATTTCATGGCTTCTTTAAAGGATCTTGGATCCTTTCCCTGAACAACTGCTGCAAGAAACTTGCGATAATTCACAGAAAAAATGTCACAGTTTATATAGTGCGCTAAAGAATAAGGCGTACCTGAAGGAGAATTGGAAGATGGAGTGGAGGGAGACGGATTTTTAGCAAATATAGAATGAGTCACATAATCCCGAAGCTTGACCGATGGAAACTTGTCACGGTGGCCACGACCCATGGGAGAGTGATCTGTGGACTGCTGCTGTACCGAGCTGCTGTCTTCGGTAGTTGTTGTGAGCTGCTATGGGCCATAGGGAGCTGGGCTGATTGGTCTGCTGTCCTCGGCTATACCCATATCAGCAGGGCTGCGAGGCTGGGATGTAGCAGACCCAGCGCTTGAGGGTTTCCAACGCCCTGGATAGAAACCGGGGCTGGCTGTTGCTCTCCTATGCCAGTGCCCGTTGGGTCAGTGCATGGGGAAGTAACAGCCACCTCCTCGTCTGTACCCCCACCATTGCCCTAAAAAAATGCACCAATTTCATCCCATAACTCATATTCAATAAAATCATCATGCACACCACAATCAGGCTTAGAAACCTGAGACTTAATGTTTACATCTTTCGGACAACTAAACGGAAACACATCTTCAATGAATTTTACATCACGAGAAACAAAGAATACCTTAGACTCCAAATCATACAATCTCCACCCTTTCTTCCCAAACGGATAACCCACAAACACACACTTTCGACTCCGACTAGCAAATTTATCACCACTCGTTTGCTGATTGTGAGCGAAACAAAGGCACCCAAACGTGCGAATAGCATCAAAATGAGGTGGTTTATTAAAAAGAATTTCGAATGGAGTTTTGTTTTGAAGTAAAGGAGTAGGAGTTCGATTAATTAAGTGAGCAGCAACAAGAACACACTCACCCCAAAAATAAATGGGCAATTTGGCTTGAAATCTCAAGACTCTCCCTACTTCCAAAATGTGTTTATGTTTTCTCTCTACCTTCCCGTTTTATTGCGGTGTACCCACACAAGAGGTTTGAAAGATAATCCCAGTTGCAGCAAAAAAATCAAGCAAACAATTAAACTCGGTATCGTTGTCACTTTGCACAACTTTAATTGTCTGGGAAAATTGTCTGTCTACCATAGCAACAAATGACAAAAACATACGAAACACCTCAGTTTTATCAATCAACAAATATATCCACACTACTTTAGAATAATCATCAACAATTGTCAAAAAATAACGAGCTCCGCACGACGATACATGACGATATGGACCCATAAATCACAATGAACTTTCCCAAAAATCAAGCTAACAATTAACTTTCTCCGCACGACGAAACACAACTTTTTTTTTTTGATGGCTGCCATGACCAATATATAATACAAATTTACCCTAATGAGATAGAATTAGGAAACTAACAAAAGATAACCAAAAGATATTCTAGCCATAAAATATGGTCACAAAATATATACTATAATTTCCCAAAATGTATCCTCAATAATCTTGGTGAGGAAAGTATATCTTTTTACGTACTCCATTACATGTCTTCTCGTTGTGCTAGATTATCATTTAACAAGATTAGTTTTTTGGTCAAGATTATATTAAGGCACCAAAAATATTAGCAGAAGAACTACCTCTACATTTAGCTTACGTCTACTTACTTATAAGAGTTAAATCGGAGATGTAACAAGCTAAGTTTTGTAAACAATGATCATATGAGAGATCGAAGTTTGGGCTTGGAGATTGTACTGTGTTATCTTAGCTTTGTTTAATCTTCTTGTTGATCTTTCGTAGAAATTATTTCCTTTTTAACTACTCCATTAATCTACTTTAAGCTAGATTATTGAACATAGATCTTAGATTGGATCGAGATTAAAGCACCAAGGAGGGAAAAGGACACTTGCAAAAGGAGTGCATCTAGTTTAATGCTAGCTTGTTCATCCACACACGACAAATAATTAAATAGTGACCTATATATTAGTGATTTTGTCTCGAGCTAGGATTTATAGAAACCTCTAAGAAGAGGAAGTTTAGCTGAGTTTTATTGATGACAATTGACAAATTAATAAAACTCATCAATTTATGTAAATCATCTTTAATTTTCATACATGTGAAAACCTATGTTTGTTTTATGCTGTACTAAGTATATATGTATGCGAGAAAGAATACATAAAAAGTGTTTTTGGAAACAGAATTCTCCTCGGTATGTAAGGGTATTTTAGGTAACAAGATGTCCAAGATTCAATGTCCAATGTCCAAGCAAACACACTCAAGCTCCGCCTTGCAATGGTATCTGAGAGCTACATACGCTAATACACTTGCAAGAAAGAGAAAGTAAGCTGTCTCTGGGTGTTGACTCGAGAACGCCCCTCCGACGCTCAAGTCAGTGAATGTACTTTATAGAGAGAAAAAGTAGAGAGAGAATGAGAGATTAGGAAAGGTTACCATATTATTTGGCAAAGTTGTACTTTATTGGACAGATAGATTAGGAGTAAATTTATACTTTATGATGATTAATGGATGATTACAGATGATAAGCTGGATCATAGAGGGATTCGTCGTTTCAGGAATAATGGACTTAGGACATAGACTAGGCCCAAACAAAAAGCAACAAATAAGAACATAGATATTTAACGTGATTTAGGCCTTGTTTAGTTCAACTTATTTTTACTTATTTCAGAAAAAATAAGTTCATATCAGATCAGATTAGAAAAAATAAGTTCAGATCAGAACATCGTTTTATGTGCGGTTTTTTATCGCTAAATATTCTTAATTTCGTAATGGAAAAATTGTGAAAATTATTAATAAACTACACATTCTTACGAATCTAACAAGATCCCACTTGATATATTTTTTCCTTATATATTATCGTACACTTAAGGTCAAAGTTTGGTCAAAATAGACAATCAGATCAGATCAGACCAGAACAGATCAGACCAGATCAATAAAAATAAGGTAAACCAAACAAGATCTTACTCATACTTTGTATTGTGTTAGTTACGTTCTGGACTTCTGGGTAGATGAGAGGAGTTTTTTCATTGAAGAAAATTAAAATTAATTACAAAAGACCAAGGTAATAAGCTACAGATTAAGAGCTTTATATATATCATATACCTATACTAAGCAGAGTATTTTTGGGAGGAAATTTACCCTTCTAAACTCTACTTTGTTTTTATTTTTACTAATTTGACTAGGAATTTTAGTATTTATTGTTACAATTTATTTTTGAGTTACATTTTTCTAGAGACTTGGACATTTGAATTTCAATTATCATATTTTAAAAACTAAGCATAGCCCAGAAATTATCTAGTTACTTCCAAAATAGAGTTGCCCCGAAAAAGAATTGAAAAGACTAATTATAAGGGCATATTGAAAGACACGCTCCACTATTTTGTACTCAATCAAATTAAAATATACTTCGTATCATTGAAGACATACTCCAATAAATAGTAATCTGCTTTAAATCACTCGTAATGATATATTGATTTAAGGCTTATTCCAACAGTTTGTGCTTAAATTATTAAAGATTTAAAGATGATAATTTTTCACTTATTCCTTTTGTCCTATTGAAGTAAGTTATATATATTACATGCTTATACTTTAATATATAAAGGAAACTTCAACAAGTCGATCACCACCTACATAATTGATGAGACCGAAATTATTGAGACGTTTAGCCAATTTGTCTTCTCATTACGTTTCCCTTTAATTTCATTCATCCAATTAGACAAATCATCATCAATTAAAATGAAAACAAAGTTCCCTCAAACTTTCTCATGTGGAAAACTTTAGATTGTCCAAAATTATTTAATTTTGATGATGTTGACATCATTGTCAATTCAAACAACCACCATTTTTCTAAGCGATTTACTAACAAAAGAATGTTGCCATCACTCCCTACCCCATACACTACGTTATTTATTTATTTTCCTTTTTTTTTTTTTTTTTTTTTTGGGGTCCCGATACTCCAAATATAATTATATTAAAATTATATACACTATAGTTTTTGTAATTATAGTACTATTATAACTTTTCATACACGGGACACGGAAAATGATCTAATTTAGTATTTAAATAAAGTCTATTTTACTTTTATCAAAAAATAAATTAAATAATCTAAAAAAATGAATCAATTTAAGGCAATAAAATGCCGTGTGAGGAGCTAAGCTTCGTGTGTGGAGGACTGCCTACCCACTTATTCTCTTCACTTTCTCTCTCTAAAAATCTCTTTCTTTCTCTCTCTAAAAATAAATTATCTCATTATTTTGTGTTTGTTCTCTATCAAATGATCATACGAGGAAGGTGATGACAACCAAAACACACAATTATGAATGTTGCATGTGTGGTGACCATGGCCTTTCTTATGAGCTCTTTCGTTGCAAAGTTTGTCATTTCAGATCTCAACATAGGTATGTATTCCCATGGCCACTTTTTCACTATTTCATCTCGCTGCGGATTCGACCCTTACTTATTAATTTGCCGGTTCTGTGCACATATCTTAAATAAACCGGCATCCTAAAAAAAAATCGTCTATTTTTAAGTACTAATCTTTATTATAGCTAGTGAAAAACTAGTTTTTATTGATCTTAATTAATTAGAAAATATATATTACTTATATAATAGTTCAAAACTGAGATAGTCACAAAAGACAGTGATAGATTAAACCATGAAATATAGTTAATTTTAAGTGGGTTTTGGATTGATCAATATAATCAACTTGTTATTGTGAATCAATATTAAGTTTACTTTTAATTCATTATATCATTGATTTGAGCTAGATCTTATCAAAAAGTATAGAGCACATTAATTGATTAAAACCCAATTAATTAATTTGTTCATTAATTCTAACCTTATATTTGGGATTTCTCGGGATAGGTATTGTAGCAATCTATACCCAAAAGCGGAGTCATATAGAGTATGCAATTGGTGCCTAATTCAAAAGAATAATAATGATCATCAACAAGACACTCTCACTCCCACCACAACAACTACTACATCAAACTCTCCTTCTTCACAAGATCACCACCACCAATTAGCCAAGACTCCCAATAAGAGGTTCATCAACAACCATGTTGGTGGGCCGAGGACCGGTATCGGGGCGAAAAGTTTACAACCCACAAGCCCAATTAAGAAGCCGGCCGGGGCCGAGACTCGATCTCCTTCGGGCCGTAAAAGGATCGTCAACGGAAGAGAAGGCACAGGGCAAAATGATGAAAAGATAAGGAGGACTAAGTCAGAAGAAATATCAAATAATAATAATAATTCAAGTAGTAGTAGTAGAAATAGTGGTGGTAATGGTGGTGGTGGTGGTGGTGGTGGTGGTCCAGCTGTTATCAAACATGTTTTTAGAAATAAGGTGAGAAGGTATAAGCTTTTGGAAGAGGTCTCTAGTTGACATTGATAACATCTCTATCAATTATCATAGTATTATAAATCATAATAATATTAATTACAAGTATAATATATAGTTATTATAGTATTACTATTAATATCAATATCATCTAGCTAAGCTTGCTCCCACAAATGTATTTTTGTGGGATATTTTCAAGTTTTTTTTTTTTTTTTTCAAAAAATGAATGAAACACCTTGATAACGTATTGTATATGTATGGGAATCCGAATTTTGAGTTTTTTCTATATATCTAAACCAATGGATTCTATATTTTCAGCTGTCTTTTTTCTCCATTTTTTAAAATTTTATTTAATTTTTTTTTATTCTAGGGGTTGGGGTATTTGTTGTACTCATTTGGTTGCATGGGATATGGATTAACGTGCCATAATGCATGCATATTATCTAACCTATGCTTCTCTCTAATGAGCGCAAAAAATATATGTATGCTTAATTAATATGGAGTACACAAAATTTAGCTAAATTGTCGTTGTTAATTGCACATTATTGATTGTAGAGTAGTTGAATTGTTATTTTGTCCATGTCTTTCATATATAAGAAAATTCAAACGAAAACTATAGTATTGAACTACTTCTCGATTATCATCTTTATTCTCCACATACTACATGGCTCCGATCATGCTTGCTCCCATCGACCTCAGTTGTTTTAGCTTAACATTGTAATTTATCAATTATGTGGCTTGTAGAGTTTTTATTCTGTTGATATCATTTATTTTTTCCGTTCTTTAATAATTGCATCACTTGGAGTCAACAAAATATAAGTAATTAGCTCTCATCTCATAACTTCCAAGTCATAAGAATGGAGTAAAGTATGGTCGATATTTCATGGTACAAATCATACATACTCCTCTCTTTAAAAATTGATCCTTCAACATTTGTAGTAACTGATAATTTGCGAGTCTTATATTCCAAATAGTTATTTTTGAATGATAGAAATATTTTTTTAGTTTTTTTTTTTATATATCTCGTTTTATGTACATGCGATAATAGCAATAATGCATACGACTTAGTATACATTTTTTTTCATCAAAATATTAACTTCATTTGAGTAAGATTAGTGTGCTAGAAGATAATCTTACAAACTAGCTAGTTGCATTGCGTTCATTAAATATATCCTTTATATATATCATTCATATTTCCATTTACGTATCTTTGCTTGCATTATCAAACACAGAGTGTTTCCCATAACAATACCCTAGATCTCAATTGAATAATAATTAAGGATCCTTAATTTGTTGATACTTTTAGTAAAAGTGGTCTAAAGAGTAATCATGTCGCTTAATAGGCGCCATTAACCTTGTTTAAAGCCACATATAATTATACGTAATAAAAATTAGATGATATGAAACTAATGAAAGTATTATCTTCACATTGGTTAGTGTAAATTGTAACCTAATGATAATTAAAAATGGCACGTTGTTGATTAAAATAGTAATTAATCATGATTGTGAACGTGTGGAGTACCCTTTCCCGCTATTTCTGCCGAGAACATGCTTGATTATGATTTGAAGATGATAATGATAGCGATTACAATCAGCAGATTGGATGAAATTAAAATAATCAAGACTTAATATATGGTTAATTAAATAAATCATAGAGTAGTTAAAAAATTATAGGTTGCTTTGCTAGAATGATGATTGATGAGGCGCCAATTTCGTTATTAATGTATCATAAAGTTACTTTTGACATAACATATGATCTGATGAAATTCTAGGTTGCTTTTATTTATATAGTCACAACTAATGGACCCTAATTTTTCTTATAATATTGGACATTATTAGTGATTGTGTGATTAACAAATTAGTCAAAATAGTACTACAACTTTGGCATCCAAGGCGTCAGAAGTGAATTGCGTATGCAAAGTGTGTCTACTAGCACTAGCAACAACTTAACTTTCTAGTTTCTACCACGTAAATAGAACGTAGCTACTAATACCATGACTTCATGCGCAGTTCAGTATTACTCGTATGTAAAGTCATTAATAGTAATATTAACATAGATGTCAACTAATTTAATTGGTTAGTTAAAATTTTTAGATCAGAAATAGTACATATACCCAAGATCTAAAATTGAATTTTATAACAATTTACGTACGGAGTATTACTCATCAATGATTAACTAATTTTCAAACTGTGTTATATCATCTCAAAATTCATACAGGGTTTATTTGTTGTAACATCATTCAATTATTCATGGACAAAATTGCTTATGCCTAATAAAAAGCGACAAACTATATAATCTACTATTTGAAGGTACAATATGAAAGTAGACCATATGCAAGTTGCAAGATCCACGTTATAAAAAGTTGTAAAAGTAGCATACGTAATTCAAAGCGAGGTTTACCACTCAATATAATTGTGGAAATTGACATTGACAAAACTTAAGATTGAGGTTAATATAAGTTAATCATAAAGTAAACACACGCATAAACCATTCACACTATATATTATAGTAAGTGAATATATGAAGTCATTAACTACTCCCAATAAAGTAACTGGTAGTTAGTTGAGTGAGTATATATGTAGTATGATAATTTAGTTGACTTGGGTGTGAATGTGGGGGTGCTTATGACATGGCTCTTAATTTGGAGTTGAGGGCACCAACATCAAACAGGTGTGTGGTGTTGCTGTTTTGCATGGTTTAAAGGGTAATTCATGTGTATCTTTTCATGCCTTTGGATTATTGGAAGAATATTAGCCCATAATTCAATCCAAAGTAGAGGTGTTTGTATATCTTATTCCTCTGTTTCATCATATATAATTGATATGTTTTTTAGGCGTTTTTGTCAATTCACATATTTAAACATTTTAATAGGCAAAAATTATAAGAAAAAAAATTGATAACTATACATTGAAATGAACCCAACGAGATATCATATGACTTTATTTCTTAGGTAAAAATCACCGGAAAAATATATATATATATATATATATATATATATATATATATATATATATATATATATATATATATATATTTATCAAAGTAGCTTATTACTTATATGGATAATGTCAAAGTATCAAAACGTGTCACCTAAACATCTAATGAGAAAGAGAAAGTAAATATTATTAGACTTAACTTATTACGGAGTAATTACTTCATATATGGAATTGGTTAGTGTTAAAAGGTGTGATAAGTTGCTCCAAAGAAGATAATAGGGTTAGAGCCTTAGAGGTGAAGTAAGGTGGCAAATTGGTCAATTTTAGTATTTTACAAGTCTATATATCATTGACCCTTCTGTTAATGAAGTAAGAAACGGCCTTTCAACTATAATAAAGGGTGTTCTTGAAAAGTTTTCATTGAAGACCTAACTTAATACAGTATGATCTCATCTCCTGAAATGTTAGAGTTGGACTGAACTAACCTACTAAGGGCGTTTGGTTAGAACAATGGAAACGCAGTGAAAAGGAGACAAATAAGAGGGGGGGGGAGGAATCATGTAACTATTACCTTTTTATTTGTTTGGTTTAACTATGAAAAGAAATCAATTTGTGTTTGAGGAGGGTAAGGGTATTTATTACCTTAGGTTTTAGAGTGGTAACAAATGGGTGAAATCCCTTACCCTTATGTAAAAGGTAATTGTTACCAAATCTCTTAACCAAACATTGTATAATGGTAATGATTTAACTGAATCCGTTTCCAACCTAAAAATACACTAAGCAAACATGCTCTAAATGTAAGTGTATATGTGATTACTGATCTAGTCATGACAAAGAGGTCTTAGAGTCTCAGGGCTTTCTCTTGGTTAACAATTGATATTGGGCTTATGATTTTGACTTGCAATATGATGTTGTACTTAGGAATTAATGATGGTTGATGTTAGGCTAATTGAATGCTTAATGTACCGACTCATGAGTGGAGTTCCAATAAATCTATCTACGGTATCCCATTTAATGCTGGATTGAATTGGACATAAAACCTTTAATTTTTGTAGAATGCATTTATAACATATTTTGCGCATAAATATTACAAAGTACTTCGTATTATAATTTCATATTGAAAAAATATGTGTGGATACTAGTTTTGATAAGTAAAAATCTGTTTTTGAAACAACCAAAAAAAAAAGAAAAAAGGATCTATTGAAATCGCTTTAGTAATTGATAGTTTGAAAAAAAAAAATCGGTTGTTATCAAGAAAATTTTGTGAAAAGTATTAGCTTTTTAGGCCCTGTTCAGAGTACTCAAATTCAAGAATGATAGATCATCCCATATTATCACAACTGTAGTATTAGCTTTTAGGCCCTGTTCACTTTCACTTTAGTAAAAGTTAAGTTTAGTAAAAATAATTTTATTTCAATAAAAATCAGTAACTTTAAAAAAAATAATAGAGAATTAGTAAAAATAATTTCAATTCAACAAAAATAATTTCAATCACAAATTTTCATATGTGGTTGACCACACCGTGTAGCCGGGGTTACTTATTCAGTGGTTACTTAGTCAGGGGTCATTCAGTCAGCGGTTACTCAATCGATCAGGGGTTACCCGTTAAATGTTTTGGTGAGTGTCAACAGGCCACACGGTGTGGCCAGCCACATAGAAATCGGGCTAACCGATCGAGTAACCCCAGAATAAGTAACCCTTGATTGACCGAGTAACCCCTGAATAAGTAACCTCAGCCACACAGAAAACGCACTGAATTTCAATTCATTAAAAATAATTCTAATTCAGCAAAAATACGTTGAAGTGAGCAAGCCTAAATTCAGTTCAATAAAAATAAGTATAATTAAGTAAAAATGATTTTGGTTCAGTAAAAAAAAAAGTAACTCTAAAGAAAAAATATAATAAAAAATTATTAAAATAATTTTAATTCAACAAAAATAATTTTATTTATTTACAATTAATTTCAATTCAGCAAAAATAAAGTAAAGTGAACAAATTGATCGCGTACTTTAAAATCCTCGAAGTGTAAGATTCTAAGATCCGAATTTAGTATGAGATTTGGGTGGCCCGTTCAAGTCAGGAATCTGATTTGTCCTTATTTTTGGACTAAAATATTTGTCCACAAATTTAGTCAAAATCGTGCTAGGCTAGTGAAGCCTTTTCGGAGCCTATAACCAAAGCAAATTTGCGCAGAAAAAGCCCAATTCGTGGGCCATACCCATCCCAAAATTTGGGCCACTAAACTTGGGTCAAATTAATCAACTCTTTAATACTTTATTAGCAAATATAAAATCTGAATCTTCCAAACACCAGAAACAAAGTACTCCGTAGTAGGCCCGAAACGATTGCCCATAATACTTAATTACTTATGACTAATTTGTATAGCCCAAATTTTTTTAGACAAGTTGTTGAAGGTCACATTAGAAGAACAAATTGGTGTTCTCTCTTTCAAAGTAGCTAGAATGTCTCTTTCAATTCAATTCAATAAAAGGGGAGAATGAATGAAACCTTTCCATTTACCAGTAATCTAAAACGGAATGCAATTTATTCAGTCTAATGTCACTTTCTACGTACTTGCATTATGCTTTACCAAATCAAATAGGTACGAAGTCATAAGACATTTCCTTATCTGATAATGTTGATGATTGTTATCAACTTCAATTTCCGATAGGAAGGTGAAACGTTCAATTTTAGGGACATTTGGTTATTATGGACATTATGATAGGCTTCGACTAAGTCGCTATTATCATTTTTATCATTAATATTAGAAATTGGTTAGCTATAAGCAAAACCAAAGTTCAGTGAATTGTGAAATAATAGTATAATCTAACTTGTTACATGAAACTTGGGATAGCTATAATAATATCAAACTCACTCAAAAGTCCAATTAATCAAAACTACTTACATTTGAATACCTGAGGTGAGTTAGAAATTGTTTTTATTGTATTTAGTTTTTTTAACAATAATAAAAATAGAAAAATAAAAAGTTGTGTTTTTATTGTAGTGTGTACCACTGCATAAGTTGACTTTTAGAGCTCTAAACTTAGAAATAATATGCTTTAAGCACCTGGGAATTAGGTGAACATTCTAATTGAAAATAATTATAATTTTGGATAGGTGAACATGAAATTTGGACATACATAATGATCCTTAAACATTGGGGAACAAGTTTACGAGGTTTCGTTTGTTTGCATTAGCAGCCATATCAGAAGAAGTTTGCTTCCTCTCACTTGCCTCATTTTCGGTTAGCACAATTCAAAAGGTCAACTTCTTCACCTTACTGTCTTCAAAATCAAAGAAAAGTATTTTGATTGAAAAAAGAATGCCTTTTAATAAGCATGAAAATAGTAATCAAACAATAGAATAAAATCTAGAGTAAAATTATTAACCCAACATACATGTAAATATATAAATTACAGATAATATATCACATTATCACCACATCCAATAAAATAATTTTAATGGAAATAAATACTATACGGATCATTAAAGGCAATAATAATCTACAATTAGGCAACACTAACCTATATTTTTAATAGTACATTTTCTGCTTATGAATTAATGCACTACATGATATCGTCGCTCTTTGTTATTTATATAAAAACGTGTTTGAAGCTATCCAATAATTGTAGTTTGATCATTGTTTGTTTATTACCTTAACAATTTATTAGTAGATGATACCTATTTATCGAAAAAAAAGGATACACAAGAACATGTCACTTGTCACTACGTCCGATGTATGTTTTACTATGCAGCTTGTTTATAATGTCAAATGTAATAAATTTCTTATCTCAATCTAATGTTTCAGCAAAATATAATAATTTTTTTAAGTGCGTAATAACAAAAAATTGATTGATATTTCACATTTTCCTACAATCAGACAAATGATATAATTGTCGAACACTCTATTAGTCTGAGAAACAAAATATTAGAGGTATTTGGAGGGAAAAAAAAAAAAAGTGATGTTTTAAAGTAATTTCTTTAATATCAATTATATGAATCAATTTTATTATCACTTTTTAGGTAAAATTCAATAATACTCCCTTTCAGGCGGTAACAATAGTAGCTTGTACCTGAACCAGCTTACTTTTTCAATAATTGAAAAAAAATTGGAATAATATTTTAGGTAATTATGTATGGAAGAATTAAGAACACAAAATAAAAAGAAATACATTTTAGGTAAAGATAATATACTGTATGAGATTTGGAACAATATTAATATAGTTGTATTATACAAATATTCCAGAAATAAAAGATTTTTTTTGCTAAAAGGGAGGAGGAGTTTTGGAGGATAAAAACAGCATCTGAAAGTGACACGTGTCATTCTTAGGGCTTATTTTAGTATTATGTTATTAATTGATTGTAAAAAAATTATTTACAATTGATATAATACTCCGTGTTTAAATTTGATTTTAAAAATTGACTCGAGCTATTGATTGGACTAGATCAATTCCATTTGATAATCGAGTAGATAGCGTGAGCTATTTCATTTTCAAGATAGATAATGATTCCATCTTATCCTTCCATTTGAATTAGAGTGTATCATAAAAAATATTTAATAGGTCAACAAAACATATAAACTTAACTAGTAATATTAATAAATTCGGTAGGTTTGTTTTTTCTCCTTTCCATGCAACCTTGCTTTAATCTTACTGTATACTTGCTCTTGGAGTCCTTTTGTTAAGTTAAAGTATATACAATACTACTATTTGAGTCTAGGTATTAGATTTTAAACAAGTTAATTAGTCGAGACTTATCAAAAGAGGTGACCGGATCAACCTCACTCATTCTATCTTCAATGTATTGTTTTTAATTAGAAACCAATTTTGTTATACGTTGAATAGTGTTATTTACATTACTATTACTCATTATTAAGTTTAATCTAATTATTGGAGTAGTTTTACTATGATCGAATGATTAAAACCTACATAGCTAGCTAGGTTAAATAGTTTGTCAATATTGATTTTAATTTATTCATTAGCCTTTCAATTGTCTTTCGTATTTTACATCTAATAAAACTTGAATGCAATATCCCAGTATAATTCTTAATTAAAATAAAATGTAATAGTTGAACAATCTTTGAATGACGAAAAAAAGTATAGACTACGGAGTATTATTTAAATAAAGTTATCTCTTGCTTCCATAAGACTATAACCCTATCACTTTTTAAAAGTTAGGGGGTTATAGGATTTTATTTTAAAATAGTAAATTGTTAAAAATATATAATTAGTTAATACTCTATGTATTACTTGGCATTTGCTATATAATAGTTGTAACTTGTAGTAAAAGATTTTTTCTGTTGTAAGAAACCCTTAAAAAAATTTCTAATGTATTACGAGAAAAAATAGCATATAATTCTCCATTATAATCAGAAGTAACATGACTAATATCCATACTCCTCTCCTAAGACATACAATAATTTACAATTTCCACTAATAATTTTGTAGTAATTTAGAAATTAGATTACAACACTTACAATCTATACTAATAATGCAACCTAATCTGCTACACGATTAACCTCACAACAGATACGGAGTAATAACATATAAACAGGCATGATGTACTCTTGAAGTCATCTTAACCTGGAATTTAAAAATTTGGAATTTGGGAATTGGGACAAACGAAACAAGAATCTGAGTTACATGACCCCACGCCCAATTAAAGAGCTTTGTGACCTTTATTATCACCGTCCGCCTCACGTCTTTTCATACGTACGTAAATAAATTAAAATTAAACAAATTTAAACTACACACCATTTTCTTCTCCTTCTTCTACCTTCCTCCATGCATTCACCATTTCCCACCTCTTTTCTCCTCCCCCATTTTTTAAAAATCATAAATCAAAATAAAATAAAACTATAATAAAGCTGTAAAAATCCCAAGCATCATGCCACTTTAACAAAAAAAAGGTGATTCTCATTCTCATTCTCTTTCTTTAATTTCTTTCCTTCAATGGCTTTTGGCTTTCTCTTTTCTTCCCACTCTCCCTCCATTTTTCTCTCTCTCACACAATGCGCTTTCTCTGTAACACCGATTCCTCCATTTCCACCTGCAACAACACCTCCTCTTCTTCCTCAACAGCCAACCCTATTAAGCTAACACGCTTCTCATACTCCGCTATCGACTCCGCAACCAATGGCTTCTCCCCACGTGTCCTCCTCGGTAAAGGCTCCCACGGCGCCGTCTACCGTGCCGTCCTCAACAAAGGGTCCCTCACCGCCGCCGTAAAAAAACCAACCTCCTCCGTCTCCGAAACCTCCGAAAACGAAATCAGCATTCTCTCCACAATCACCAGCCGTCGGATCGTCAACCTCATCGGTTACGCCGTTGATCCCGATAAAAACCTGTTACCAATTGTTCATTACATGCCTAACGGCTCACTCTATGACTACCTCCACGTAAATAACAAACCTCTCGCTTTATTGACCCGGGTTCGATTCGCGCTGCAAATTGCAAAAGCGGTTCGAACCCTGCATAATAAATCGAACCCACCCGTAATTCATCGAGACATTAAGTCTTCCAACGTGTTAATCGATGAGAGAGAAAATGCAAGGTTGAGTGATTTTGGGTTGGCGATTAAAGGACACGTGGCAGATGTGCGCGTCATGTCCACGCCACCGGCGGGCACGTTAGGGTATTTGGATCCATGCTATCTTGCGCCGGGTGATTTAAGCACTAAGAGTGATGTTTTTAGTTTTGGGATTTTATTGCTTGAGATTATTAGCGGGAGAAAAGCGATTGACGTGGAGTATTCTCCACCGTCGATTGTGGATTGGGCTTTACCGTTGATTAAGTCAGGTGGGTATGCAGGCATGTTGGACCGTCGGATTAGGGGTAGGGTTGATCAGACGGTGGTGAGGGAGTTGGGGTTGTTGGCGGCGAGATGTGTGAGATCAACGGCTGAGAAACGGCCACCTGTCACAGTGATTGTTGATTGTTTGAAGAAGGTTTATAGGAGGATTAAAGTTGAAGGGTTTCCTGTATTGGGGAGTTTACGACGGCGCGTGAGGAGATTAGAGCCGTCGGATGAGTTTGACGGTAGTGATTGGGATGAGAGTAGAATGAAGGTGGGTCCCACTAGAATAAGGAAAAAAGGATCCAATGTTGACAATTTGACTGATGAGGAGATCACTACACGTGGCAGGCATCCAACGGTGAGATTAAGATCAAGGTCAAAATCAATTGGTGAGTTTAGGGAAATTGCAAAGGTGGGGCCAGAAGCAGTAACTATTGATGAGATTAACAGTGGTAATAATAATAATAATATGGTGGTGGTAAAAGGGAGAGCAGCTAAAGTAACAGTAAAAATATCTTCTGTGAGATTAAGTAAATCAAGGTCAATGAGTATGTTATATAGTGGTAATAGGGTGAAGAATACAAATGGGAAGGAAGTGGAAGTGTTTCCATTATTAGTAAAATGTAATAGTAGTAAATTAACTAAAACTCCCCAATTAGAAAGCTAATAGTATAATTTAACTTGGTTTAATTAAGTAGGATAAAGTATGTTGGCAACTTTGATTTGTGTAATGATAATTGTACTAATATTTGTTTAATTTGATAAGATATGATTTTTATGTGTGAATATTGAAATCTGTTTTTATTGCAAGTATAACTGCTTTAGTAGTAGTAGTAGTCAAAGATTCTACTAAAGGAGCAGATATATGAATTGGATTGGACCAACATATTTGTCTCAATTATTGTTAAATTAGTGTCTACTTTAGCAGTTCAACTACACTTTTATTTATGAAAGTTGTATCATTATACTCACTTTATTACTGTACATGCTTTACTTTTTTGTTTTTTAACACTTTTCCCTCTTAAAGGCATAATCATCCCAATTTCACAATCCTTATAAGTCACGATGGAATAAGATGCCATGAAGATGTTAAGAATCTTAAGATTGTTAACTACGAGTACATTAGTTTTTTTAATTTATTTTTTGGAGATAGGATGAAACTCGATATGTGACTGGGATTAATTTCGTCTATAATGTTGTTCAATTCTGTCATATGTGAAGTAAATAACATAAATATGATGATTATACAAAATGTTCTTTTAAGAATATGTTATATTTCGAGTGTTTTTTAAAATTTATTTCAGATAGAATATAGTGCTCAATAATTAAGTATAACTAGGTTCACCCAACAAGTTAATTCGAGTGTAATCAAACTTACCTAAGTGATGATATATGACATACTAAGGCCCTGTTCTTTTGCTTTGGTCTATTATGTTCTGCTTTGCTAAAATCTACTCTGCCCTGCCCTTTTCTGCTTAAAAATAATAATTAACAATGATAATAATAATTAATATTTAATAATAATAATAATTATTATTATTAATATTTAATAATAATAACTAATATTTACAGATAATAACAATTAATATTTAATAATAATAATAATTAATATATAATATTAATTGATAATAATAACTAATATTCAATGATAATAATTAATATTTTATATTATCTAACACATTTCCTAATGATATAAAAAGAGTAAAAAAATCTATAAAAAATCAAATAATAATAATAATAATAATAATAATAATAATGATAATAATAATAATAATGTTATTTGGATGGAGCACACAAGAGGGGGGGGGTGAATTGTGTAGGAACTAGTGTTCCAACATTTTGCGGAATTAAAAACATTTAATGCTATGGAACAAATAAAAGTGCAAGAGAGATTTTAGCGTGGAAACTTCTTGTGCCCAACAAGAAGAAAAACCACAACCACTTGGAATTTTCTAAATTGACTTCACTATATAGGAAATACTATTACAACCTATAGGAACTCGATAGGAATTTAAGTTCCTTTAGAACCTAAATCTACCCCCAAATGCTCTTTGCAGTTTCAACCCCGAAGCTTGAAAACTCAAGACTCAATTCTAAGTCTTTACAAAAGGTAACTCAACCTTTTTCTTAAATTACAACTCAATAATAGATTTAACTTTAATACATAGAAACTCAAGAACAATTAGGAACTTGTAGTACTAACTTACTTACGTGAAAACAAAATATATTATATGAAAATCTTTTCAACTTAAATTAGACCCATTTGAAATGACTCACTAAAGCCAAACGTGTTTGGAAAGACTCACTATGGTTAGACAATCTGAAAGTGAAAACAAAGCCTCTTATTTATAATGTACCCAAGCATACCCACTTCCTCTATATTCTCTACAACTAACATGTAGTGTTCCTAAACTTTAAGAACAATCAATATTAGTATAGTGGAGAATGTGGGAAGGAAGTGATGAACGTGACATATGGGTAAGCATTTGAAAATTGTTTTTTTGGAGAGAAATTATAGGGTGTGCTAAAATCAATCCTTGGAGAAAAAGAAAACGTTTTGTAAAATAAGGTAACCAAGATATTTATTTTTTAAAACATTTTTGTAACCAATTTAATCACAAGAATAAATTCCAGTAAAATAATTCTCAACTTAAACGCAATAAGAAGACTTATTCCAGTTACAAACTTTTACAAGTTCCTTTGAATATTCAGTACTAAAATATCTCAACTGATTTTCCCTAAAAATAGCCAGTCAAAACAATATGATTAATAAAAAATATATTTAGGAAAAGATAAGTTTTTGTAAAATAATATCCTAGGTTTATTTTCCAAAAACAAAATAAAATCTTTTCTTCCAAAAAAGATTCACTTTTATCACATTAATAAAACTTTGTTTATAAAGCATTTTCCTTAGGAAAAATATCTAATAAATAAGAATGCAATATAATTGAACGCTTATTTAGAGAAGATCAATTTTGTACTTCCTTCAAGTTCCTTTTAGTACCGTGAGTTCCAATACCTTTCAAGTTTCTACATACGTACATGAATCCTAGAAAATAAACTCATATCTTCTAGCTTTATGCTCAATGCTACTCCGCATGTTGATTGTTCCTACAGGGAACTTCATAGTGCTTCTCATAGGATCTTATATATAGACTCCTAAAGGAATACTTGACATGAACTTCTCTATTTTCTTCCTTCGATTAGTCCGTAGTGTATTTCATGGAGAGATTAAGGACTTCCTTTGTTCCAACTCTGGATCTTGTTTCTTTCTCAAGAACGTGCCTAAAAACCTGTACACTTAACACACTTTAATCAAACCGAAGTGAAATATATAAATAAAGTTCTTAAACTAACATAATTAAATAATAATAAATATAGTAATTATAACTTTATTACTTGTTCCCTATTTATTAGGAACTTCTCTTTAAAAGTACCTCGTGGGAACTTCACGGATAATTGCTTTAACCATCTTCATGATATACAAGGATCAATCTCCATGACTTGTTTAATATGCACATCAACACACAAGTTAGTTCATAAGCATCATTGGTTTATAATCATCAAAACCATATCATCTCAACAAATAATAATAATAATAATAATAATAATAATAAATAACTAATGATAATAATGCGATAATAATAATAACAATAATAATAATAATAATAATAATAATAATGATTATGATGATAATAATAATAATAATAATAATAATAATAATAATAATAAATAATGATAATAATGCGATAAGGTTGTAGGTTGTAGGTTGTATGACTTTGTCTGTTTTTGAGATATAATAATAATAATAATAATAATAATAATAATAATAATAATAATAATAATAATAATAATAATGAAAATGAAATATGTTCTACCCTGCTATACTATGCTCTGGCGAGAAGCTCAAAAGAATAAGGCCTAAATATTATTCCTTAAGAAAATTGATTACATAGCATTGTTCATAACATATTAAACTCACTGAGTTTGCTTACTTTGGTTATGAAACATTTTTGTTACTTGGACAATAAGTTAGCTAACTCTGGTCTCTTGTTGCATTGACAATTGATTCAAAAACAATAGGAAGAACAAAAAACAAAGAGACTAATTATCATTTGGCTTGAACGCTGGCTCTACTACTGTAATTAAATTAATTGCTATTCAAGAAAATTAAACTTCAATTCCTTTAAGAATTTGAACTCCTCTTAATGCTTAATATTATCTATTACGTATGTGTTGTGTAATACTCCTATATCAACCAAACAACTACTTGCATAAGTATTATTGTGGCCAAGATGCAAAATAATGGCTAATTAATAAAAATCTGCTCGGATCTCGATGCAACTCTCAGTAGTCAAGGTCTCATGAGTCATGAAGCAATAGTTTTTGTGATGAAGGGATGAAGGAATTATTGGACCACATTCTTGATCAGTAAGTTTGTAGTAACTTGTTAATTAGAAACAAATAGCTGTTGATGTTGAATATATTCCAAAGTACATTAATGCATAAAACCAATGCATAAGAAATCAGTCATTAATGTTTATTTTGGATGTTTTCTATATATTTTGTTTACGTACGTTTCATTTTGTTACTAATCGTGTCTTCTCTATCGTAGCAGTTCAACACATTTGTAGTTTGCATACGAAAGATGAAGGAGAAGTTAACAAAGAAAAGAGGTTGGAATTATTATCATTTTTGTTTGATTATATTATTGAATCATCAATCTCGATCAAAAAATTGCCGCTTCATTAGGTCATCTACTACTAAATAGTTTAATATTTGATTATAATTTGATAGCTAGATATTTTGCAAAAAAAAAAAAAAAAAAAAAAACCCTCTTATCTCAAGAGATAGTTCTCTAATTATATCTTAGTAGAGCTACTAGAGTAAGACAATTAGGGTTAGTGGAAGGTAAAAGAATTTAACCTTTAAAGTGTTCCTATAACTGACAAGTTTATTCTTCGTGAAACTGCAAAAAGTGTGGAAGACTTTCCAATTCAACCAATCAAGAAGATATTTCAAGGTAGAATATACATACATGCAACTTGTCTACAATGAAAAACGAAGATGACTAATAATACTGTATCTAGCAATACACAACATATTACATAAACTTGTTAGGGCTACAAAAGAATATTTTGGTGAGATACACTCTTACAAATATAAGTTTAAGTTTGTGTGTTGGGGTAGCTAAGTTGGTAAATTAGCCATCAAAATCTTAACATATTGTAATGACAAAAACTCTAACTTGTATGTTCAATGTTCGGGTGTCCAAAAGGTTTACTTTTTAGTGTTGTTATTAGCTAGCCTAAATTTGATGGAGATCTTGAAACATGTACATTCTCTAATTTAGTATACCCTCATAAGTCATAATATAAGTATGATTACGTGATTAAACTCTAACTCCAAACTTAAGAAGTTTTTTGTATCTGATACATATCAAATATCATCAAGGTGATTGTTTCCTATCCAAAACATCATTGTCAAGTAACTAGAGATGACTCCTTTGACGATGGTACATGTTTACTTGGATTGGTGGGAATACAACCCCCTTGTTAAATGAGTAACACACTAACATGAGAAGAGATGAAAAAATGACTATAACATTAGTCTAGCTAATAAATTCATCTATTTTCAATTGCTTTTAAACTAAATTATTGTTCAAACTCAAGACTAGCAAATCACAATTTTTTATGTAAGATATTCCCATTTTTTTTTTACCTGACACTCCTACATACACTTTTTAGTCGTAGCCCTTTCTACATTGTTTACATTTTGTTTTGCTT